AATGAGAGAAAGGAAGACCGTTGGATTTGGCCATCGAAGAAGAGCAGAGACGTACCATCGATTTGTAGATAGAATTCTAGAGCGACGGAATATTCGCTGATGGGCAATGGTTCACTGTCGGAGATCGAGGCGTCAGCGAAACGATATTGAGTGCGTTCGAGCATCATGATGTCCATACACTTCAGTAGACGTGGATAGTTGTAGTCAAGGATGCTCTCGTCGATACGTAGACGCTCGGCCAAATCATCATAACATTCTCGATAAGTGTCGAGGAAAAACGGTGGAATGAAAGGACGATCATGGCGATGTTCGGTGAGCGTGTATGGCAATGGAAAAGTGCCTCGTTGTCGTGCCAGTCGTTGGTCTGCTGTTAATCGTTGGCCTAAGTGAACACCGGCAGAGATCTACATGTATATCGTCCGTGAAGACGAAGAAAATACACACGCGGAACGTTGGCAAGGAGCAAATGATCTCGACCATGGTAGACCGGGGCACCATGGCGATGCAACGATGGAAAAGCAGGCAGAAGCGAGAGACGCATCGGGGTACTGTGGTCGTCGTCATTGGGAGATGAGAGACAAAGTCGATAGTGGTTTTTCTCGTCGCAAGGCTGCTTATCTAGAACAAGACACTAGTGAAGAACAACGAAGAGAAAAGTCAATGAACAAGAATAGGCTAGTTTTCAATAGGGGGTGGACGCCGAACTAAATTGGCGCACCACTGTCCACGAACAGGATGTGGCCGGTAGCTGCTCTCGTTGACCAGTCGACCCGTCTTGTTCAGGTGGTAATCTCCGACAGTGAACCATTGCCCATCAGCGAATATTCCGTCGCTCTAGAATTCTATCTACAAATCGATGGTACGTCTCTGCTCTTCTTCGATGGCCAAATCCAACGGTCTTCCTTTCTCTCATTGTTTAGTGGGTCTCTTCGACATAAAGACCTGTTCGTTTCGCGGGGCTCGCGCTCCATCGGCACCCCATCTTGACCTCTTCTGTTACGATAAACCACAGACTCGCTACGGCATGATCTGCTGCGATCGTCGGACGTGTCCCTTCTGCTATCCCAATGCACACATAGCTGCTGTACGAGTCCATCCAGTCGTACAAGTCTCAGCGGCTCAGAAACATCGCTTTGTTAGCGGCTATGAAGCCATTCTCAACTGTTCAACGGTGCGTTTCACTAACTCTGATCATCTGCCTGTGTACCTTCTCTTGCCTCCCTAGTCGTGTCAAACGAACAATATCATCTACGCACTGACCTGTCCGTGTGGTCAATTCGATTACGTCACGATCAGCAACGACGAAGGTCAATTGACTACCTCTATTTTTCACAAGCCTGCTGCAGAACCCTACGTTTTACCGTACACGTCCGATCATCCTCGCCATGTTCATCGTAAAATCTTCGTCTACAAGAGATTATTAAAATAATTCCGTTTCGCACTTTCATTTCGGATCTACAACAACAACTGAAAGAAGTTCAATTATCATCGTCGGATACCGATACCGCGAGCATCTTAACATTATATCATGGACAATTACTGAAATGTGATGAGTTAAAAGCACTACAAGCTAACATTAATCAATTAATAGTAGTAAACGAATATTTTACTGCAAGTAATTCTTTAAACTTTGCTGTTACACGTGCAGGAAATAGCTCCGATCAAGAATCTGCTATTTTCGAAATCTCTGTTGATAGACAAGTTAAAATTAGACCGTTTGCTAAAATTTCGAATCGCGTTGCTGATGTTAGGGAATATCTGTTCTCGTTCGGAACAATATTTAGAGTGACGAGTATCAAAAAGTACAGCGATACTATGTGGTTAGTGAAACTACAGTTAAAAAGTGAAGAAGAAAATGATTTTAAGAAAATACAGGATCATTTTAAATTGCAAGTTGGTGGTGAAATTACTTTTAATACATTAGGACATTATCTCTTAAAACTAGACGAATGGGAGAAGGCAGAACAATATTATAAATGTTTATCGTCTATAATTTCTATTGATACGAACAGTTTCTCACAATGTCGGCGTGCACCAGTGTCAAATGATGAATTATCATCTCATCCTGATTCTTCCCGGTCAGAATTAAGTCTGCACAAAACCGATCAAACAACAGAACTTGATCTAAAAATTTTACCGCCATCACTAGGACAATTTTCACCTAGTATGGTTTGTAGTAACCTTGGATTTATAAATACAAAACTGAATCAATTCGATTCTGCTAAACGTAATTTTGATCAAGCACAACACTTTATACCCAATGATCCTATATCCAATCTACATATAAATTTTAATCTAGGTGGATTATATTACAAACAGAAGAGTTATTCTGAAGCTTTAAATGCGTACGAAAAAGCTCTTCGATTGGCAGCTAGAATATTGCCGTCGGAAGATCCGATAATCATGGACTGTCTCAACAACATATCTGTTGTTATTCGAAAGCAGAACGAGTCAGTAAAGGCAACATAGTTTCTGCGCGAATTGATGGTGTTGTAGATAAAGGTTATTTTAATATACATAGAAGAAATACCGAGTTCTTTTACATTCTTTGCTATTTTGAATTCAACTAGTATCATAACTAATCCTAGGACTTTTTAGAAAATTTTCATTTAATTGTTTACGTATGCTATCTATTTCAGATTGTTCTTTGTTTAAGCTAGAGTAGCTTGATAATGTCTTCGGCTTGAACAACAACTGATATTATGTCTCGGTATGTGCTTTTACCTTTCTAATCTTGCTAGTAATCTATTTTCGTTGCTATATTAGCACCACTTTAAGTTGTGTTTCCGACAACGACAATCGTATTACGTTAACTGGAAAGCATTTTACTGCTGTATGGCTTACACATGTCTCTATTACACAAAATATTGAATTAGAAGACAATTTGCATCGTATTTTTGGTTATGTAAAAACATTCGTTGATCGAAAAGAATTAGGAATCGCATGCGAAGATCGGGGAAATGTTGTCAGTCAATCTATTACATATGTGCACACTAATCCGATAGCTAAAGTATATTTTATTATTTCACACCCAAAAAACATAGAAGTCACAGCTATTCTCCACGATCATCAGCATATTCAGTCTATATTTATCTATTGTCAGAATAAAACAGAACATCAGCAACTTCTAAATAAAAACTATATAAAGGAAACTAGTGTATTTGCAGACATAACTCAATTATTCTATTTTATTCAGCAGGACATTACTAAAATCGTAACTTCAGCTAATAGTGGTCACGACAGCGCGTTGCCGGACGAGGAACATGATATTTATGTCGCAAAAGCTATACCACCAGTTCAAATATTTAGTAAGGATGCACTAGAAACTCCAATTAGACATCTGAATAAAGAATCAGTTGCATTTATTTGGTTTCAGTTGTTAACTGAAATATTAATTCATCTGCCAAAGTCACAGAAAGCAATGTATGAAATGCTGCGCGTATGCCGTTTACAATACAAAGACGATATAATTGAAGAAAAAAACATTGCTGAATTTGAGAATAATTATAAGCCTGCTAAAGCTATTTGGTGGTACACTAAAGGCACATTTTTATTTCGTTTAATGAACAAGGCATTTGGTACACAAGATATAGACTATATTTATGCTTTTCGTTTAATAGTTTCTCATTTACATAAACAAATTATAGCTTTAGCATATAATCATGATATTAAATTAGTTTATCGTGGTAAAAAGTTGCCGACACCTATTATACAGAATTTAAAAGATAATATAAACGGACTAATATCAGTGAATGGTTTTTTGTCAACTACGAAAGACGAAAGTGTTGCTCGTTTATATGCTGATAAAGAAAATCCACGTCAAGGGTGTCAGTCGGTAATTTTTAAATTACATTTCGACAAAAATGTTTCGCTAAAGCCTAATGCGTATATAAAAGAATTCAGCACTATAGAAGATGAAGAAGAAGTATTATTTACTATTGGCAGTGTATGGCGTATAATAAATGTTGAGGAAGAAACTGACGTTTGGTGTATTGAACTTAGAAATGATCAAGATGAACATGGTGAAGAACTAATAAATTATTTAATAAAGCAAATCGGTGAAAAACCAACATTGTTAACTTTGGGTAAATTTTTGTATGAAAAAGGTGATCTTGATAAAGCTGAATATTACTGTCGTCTTTTACTTAAAGAATTAAGGGCAGACGATGCACTACGTGGATTTGTTTATAATATGATTGGATGCATCAGATTTGAAAGAAATGATATTTATGTAGCTAAGGATTATTTTGATTTTGCTGTTAATCTACTAAAAAAAACTCATTCGTCATGTAGTTCATCCAACTTAACAGTCAAATTCAATAAACAAATTGCTGAAAAACATCAACCTAAGCACCCACAAGTATTACAAGCAAAGTTTGAAGCTTCTGAAGTTGCAACGCACTATTTGCCTTCCACAGATTTTTCATTGGCAAAACACTACAATAACATCGGTCTACTTTATCATAAACGAGATGACAATGAAAATGCAATGAAAAATTTAAGACTTGCTCTTGAAAAATGTGGAACATTGCACATTTATTGTCAACAAGATATGTCAATGATAAAGAATAATATTGCCGGTGTGCATTATAAAAAAGGCGAATATAAACAGGCAACAGACACTTATCAAGAAGCCATTAGAATTGGCCTAGAAATTCTACTACCAACACATCCATGGATAAAAGACTATACAAATAATTTGACGAAAGCAATTAAGCATCTTCCATTGGATGATATTTGAACGTCGCATTAGGTTACACTAAAGGAGTTTATATACTTAACCTGTTAACATTCTTTTGATAGAAAATAAATTTTTAGTAGGAAACGTCGAAGCTGCAGTTACTTATGCTAACAAGTTTTCTTGATCATATAGCGTGACAGATCTACCGTTCGCGTTGCCCTAAAATCCGTAATCAACATTTTTGCACAACGACTTACAGCAGAGATCAATATGTAGTCAAAATACGTAACTAGGGATGGCATACAGCTAACCACATATGTTGAACGTGGGAAGTAGGGTGAACGATTCAACTTGGTCAGTGCTACAAAAATAACGTAGATCATGTCACTGGCGATGATCGTCCATCCTCTCTACCTGTTGATTTTTCTATCTTTATAAACGAGAGGCGATCAATCATCGAGTAGAAGATATATAGATAGATATCATCTATAAAAGATCGTTATTGAGAATAGACCATGATAAACAATAAAAAAAGAAGAGGAATTGAAAGAATCGACATAGACATTAAATAAATACTGAAGTTCGACACGAGGAGACGTTATGGTCTCAGCCAAGAAGTTGTAGCTTATTCTGTAAGATAAGCTGAGCTTCGATGTTGACAAACAACAGTCGAAAACGTCAGGTCGTTACCGTTTTTCTTTTATTAATACAAATCAACTAGAATAGTTTCGAATTTGAAAAGCTATCACATCTGGTAGAGCGAACAATTTTCGACAAATTGGTATACTTATTCAATTTTCGATCGTTAATCTTCACTCTCAGACACGTTTTTCAGATAACTCTCAAATCGATCTTTTGAGCTGTTTGTAGAACAGCTGCATTTTCAGTACGAATCAGCGTTCAGAGCCCAACGGAGTTGGTGTTGGAGTGGAGTTGGCGTGGAGTTGGAGTCGAGTTGGAGTGGAGTTGGCGTGGAGTTGGAAGTCGGAGAAAAACTGCTGAATTTCTTTTTCCACAGATTTGTATTGGTATCGTTAAGGTATCGATTACAAATGTCACATATGACACAGATGAATCAGTGTGAAACATTATAATCGAGGTATACTCGTGAATAAAAACGGTAATATCGATTGTTTTTCTTCTCTTTATACTTTAGGGCCACCTGTCAGTTTCAGAGTGAACGTTTAAGCGGCATTCTTCAGCTTCAGAAATTGATACTTTTATTGTTAATATTAATATTGTTCAATATCGAGCATCCTGGTATTACCAGATTTCGGTTACGTTTTGTCCATCAAATGATTAGCGGCTAGTTTGATTCTGTCCGAAAATATAATTAAAAGTAATCTTTGTAAGTTTCCGTATGTCCATGGTCAGTACGTTCAGTACGTCAGTGTTAAGAGATGCTCCGCCATAGTACTAACCATGCCCTCCAAAGACAAATTTGTTTTTACTTATTTATATGCTATTCGAAAAGCATTCAAAAAGACTACTAATCCTATAATAACTCTTTCTGAAAGTGTTTTGTTAAGAGCGTAGTGACAAAAACATTCTATTGTGGGTCCCCAACGCACCAAGAAAACGTGAGTTTTCACAAATTTTCGTATTTTTTGATTTTAACAGAAACTCTCAAAGTTCTATTAACTGTTCATGTCTTGTTTGAAAGAGGGATGTTTATTCTATAAGATCATGTGTTCAGACATAATAATATACTAAATTATCTATGATTTAGCACAGGACTGGGCACCTCCGCTGACTTTCAACTCCAACTCGAAAACCACCGAAATTTTTTGAAAATCAAATTTTAGAAGATATTTTTTCCCATAAATAAAATAGTTTGCCCGCACCTGCAAGAGACACTTAACACAATGACACTATTAAGGTGAACCTTAAAGCTAGTTATGAAATACTATCTGTTTAGAGCAGTTTTTTTATTTATTCTGCCCAAAGCAGACGTGAAATCTTTGTTTTATGGTCAAAAGAGGAGATTTTTCAAAAGTTTCAACCGGTAGAATACCGAACTCTACTGGTCCGATTGACTGAACCGGTCCGGCCGAACTGATACTGGTCAGCAGTGATTAGTACGCTAGAAGTCGTACGAATAGGATCGAAAAAATCAATTTCAATATTTTAATGTCAGAGGATACTGCCAGTTTCCAAAAATCTTTGTGTTTTGATTTGGAACACAAACCTAACCAAGAGTTTAACATCTCGTGGTTAAACATGGAAAAATCTCACTTTGAAGTTTTTGCGAGATGTGTGGACAAAGTGTCTAAAGACGAATTGACGAATCGCAATTTTTAAGCGTAAAAATGGTGCAACAATTCGCATTTTACCCTTATTTTGCGAATTCGCAGCGAATTGATGCGAACTGTGTCGAATTCGTACAGATACTCTTAAAGACTTTTACGAATTCATCTTGCGAATTCGTAAAGAAGAGAATAGACCAAACACGATGCTGATCAATTCGCAAATAATTCGTAAAATTCGTTTACGAATTCGTGTTCACTGCTTTTAGAAGTAGATCGATTCGTAAATACGAACTAGCGAATTCGTATTACGAACTGATCTAACGGTTGAAAATGGATCCACGAATTCCCAAACCCATTCTGCCAATTCATTGCGAATCGATGTGAACACCTATTAAGGACCAGACATAGTTCTCGGAGGTTGAAAACAGATAGATTCGTCTCTTCTCATCGATTCGCATACTTCTCATATCAATTCGCGGTTGTTTTGACGAATTCGTAAAATACGAATTGATCTCAACAACCAAACACATTTCTCGGAGGCTAAGAAAAGTTAAAATCGTCACGCGTACAGACATGCTTGATTTGGCATTTTTTTTTCTTGCCGCAGTTAGCATTCCACAAAACACGTTTGACCTGTTGTGTAAATACTCAAAGCCATGCTCTCTGCCCCCCGCCGCGCACGTACACACAAAAAGGAGTGATTCGTCCGTATTTTGTTTCGCACCGGTACATGTATTAATATAGTCTGTTGTCACGGTTTTGGTTAATTCATTCAATTGATCAATTCGTATTTTACGAATTCGTCCAAATAACCGCGAATTGATATGAGAAGTATGCGAATCGATGAGAAGAGACGAATCTGTCTATTTGTAACCTCATAGAAAAATTTCTTGACAATAAGATGCGTATTTACGAATTCTATTTACGAACTCGTGGGATATGCTTTGACATCTACGAATTCGTAAACAGAAATCGTAAATTCGCATTTTTGCCAATTTATGATTTCGTACGGGAACTCTTGGGACCAAGGGGACAACTTCACAAATTCGTAGATGGTCGACCAATTCGGTTTAGGAATTCGTAGGTACCCGAAATTTCTTTCCTACGAATTCTTTCCAATTTACGAATTGGCAAAAGGAAGAAAAGACGTACCTTTTCGGTTCTTTTTTCATCATTTTTGTTGGTTCGCATCAGTTCGCATTGAATTACGAATTCGCTGCGAATTCGCAAAACAATGGTAAAATGCGAATTGTTGCATCATTTTTACGCCTAAAAATTGCGATTCGTCAATTCGTCTTTGGACACTTTGTCCACACTAATGGTTTTTGCTTAATGGACGGCGCATTGGTACCGTTTTTCTGAGAGAGTTAAAAAATTATTATCGTAGGAAAAGATAGCCGAAATACTGAACTTCATAATCCAATAAATGAAATTGAAACACGATTATTTCGAATGTTTGATTGTTAGCATCATTGTCGATTGTGACAAGAGAAAGGGGATGGATAACAACGCTTGTCTTTTTATAGATGAGCATAAAGTATCGCCCCTTGTTCACAATCTGACATATCTTGTCTACTAGCCGGTGCTGTCAGTGATTCTGATCTTCATTGCGCTGATGGTCAAGATGAATATGCAACATCTGCACTGAAAGATATTACATGTAAGAGACGCAGCGACGATGGTTGTCATCTTCATCGACAATATATTTCTCTTTCACCAATGATGAACGCACTTTAAATGAATAACGATACAATCAAACCAATGCATTCCAATCGAATGGATCTGTGATGGTAAGCAGCTTTTAAATTTTAATATGTGAAAATGAGTTCCCGTTATTTAAGGTGTGGTGACGCATTGGATGAACAAGGACTGATTGGTATCGACAAATTTGATAAACATAACCTTAACATAGTTGATCTAAATCTCACGCATAAGAAAGCAAAAATGTTCTGAAAGTTATCAACATCAACCATTTTCAAAATTTTGTAATCTTGGTACTCAATAACGATATGTTTTAGTCGGCAACTTCATTCTCTATCAGACGAAACTTCTAAGATCGAGCAACTACTTTCTAATGTATTTACCTTTAGCTTCATCTATGAAAGAAAAGCTTCGATAAGCAAGCATTATGAGCAAAAAATATGTCTCCACTGAGAAACCACTGTGGCCCATTAATCACTCACACTAGTGCTGTACATCTGAGCTATCAAGATGCCAGTCTAATCATAACTTATATAATCCCAAATGGATGATATTACGAAAATGAGCTACATTAACATAGTCAAAACAAGAACACGTCAAGGATCTTTATACTGAGTATAATATTTCAACAATCAATACGACAAAAATTGAAACAGATAAAAATTAGTAGTTTTCAAGGAACAGATTCCAACTGAAATAATGCAATGATCGGAAAGTGATCTGATGAGAAATTGGTTGCTCGAATATCTACTACTGCAACAAATTTTGTCTGCAACATCAGAGAGTTAACATTAGGATCTTGATATAATAAAACTTATTCTAAAAAAGTCCTAGGCACTATCCTAGGCAAATGGAATCAGTGTTCTTCATTATTTGTTCTTATCATTGTATAGACATTTATTTTAAAAAATGATACAAACTGTAAAAAGGGACGAGAATCATGTCAGAAAGAAAAAGAAGGAATGTAGTATGAATGAAATTCAAAGAAAATCCGATTAATAAAGAAGAGACGGGAGACGTACACTTATGTTGAAATCATCAACAAGAAAAACGCGTTAAACTTATCAAAACTTATGTGAAATAAAGTGAAGTAGTTATACGGTAGTACAGTAGTTAGAACAGCTTAGGTTGAGTACTGGTTCCGATAGTTCATATGTAAAAACGTTTTTAAATCATTATATGGGCCCGAATCCTTTTGGAGTTATTTTAGTCTAGAGGTTCGCTCTATATGCTCCAAATATGAGTTCAAAAGCGGCGAATCACTTCGAACGGTTCCCTCGTTAGTTTATTTTAAGCATATAGAAAGTGACAGACCTGTAGTATTCCAGTAAAACTACAAGATTACTATGAGATATCTCTGGAGCGCGTAGTAATTTGGTCGAAGTTTAACCAGTTGTCTTCGTATCATCTGTACACGTGCACGTATGACAAGGTAGATGTGTTGTCTATATACTTCTTAGAACTACTACTCATCACAGTTTTCTCAGTCTTCAACTTTATTCAAGTCTTTCTTATTATCATTTCATTCAAAGTTACTGATGCATTCAAGTTAATGGTACCAAGCCGAAGGACACTTAGTGTCCGGAAATTCCGGGAGAGACTCGGACTCGCCCACGGTGTCTCCGCTATTAGTAGTTGTCAACAATAACAACCTAGGAAATCTCAGAGTGCAAAAACAACAGCAGGAAAATCAGCTGCTCGTCAAATGATAAAAATGCAAATTGCTATTCATAAAAAAGAAACAACAACTTTGGTTTAAAAATATAATATATAGAATATATATAGAACTACTTGAATTTTACCCTGAATCTTTTTTATAGTTCAATTGCTTTTTTCTTATAAGTTTTCTTGTTCTTTTTATATTGTGTATTCTATTTTTAAAATCTACTAATTAATTTACCGAAATTTGCATGGTACTTATTATATTTTGTATTAACAGGCCCACAAAGCGCAGTAATAAAGCATATATATATATATATATATATACATATATATATAAATATAATATATATAACGAATATAATATCGTTATTGCGCAACGGATCAATGGCATACAGACAGTGTTCCATTTGTTATTATAATTCTTACTTGTAACATGACTAATACGGTTGGCGGTGAACTTCAATTGATTGAGAGAGAAAAACAAGAAGCATCAAAATGAATTTCACAATATAATGGAAATGTACCTGATGACTATGTTAAAAATATTGAATTTGATGGACCAGGTACAGTCATTTTTTTTCTATGGCAAACGGATTTCTGGACATGTAAGAATTAACAACCGTGATACTAGGTTCGGTACCTGCCACAACTGGTTTAACTCTATGTTGAATTGCACAGCCTCGTATGAAAATGACTGGACCTGGTCCATCAAATTCAATATTTTTCTATTGTTTCGAAGAGAATAAGGATAAGAACATAAAATAAAGTGCATGTTGAAGTAGGTTTTGACCACTTTTGACTGAGTTATGGATTTTTTAGCTCTCGGTGCAAATAGGCAAAAATGGATTATTTCATCTAGTATCCGTTTTCACTAGGTTTTATTCTGCAAAAAAACATTGTCACAAGATTCACGATGGTTGGACCATTATATTTCAACAGCTTTTGAGGTTTCCAGACCAAAGCATTGTGTAATCCTAGGGCTTTGCGGGTGCCTGTAGCTACCGAAGGATGGTAAATGAAGATGTCGCCTAGATCCCGTTTTATAGAGAGCAATTTCTTTTATCTACTGATGTAAAAAAGCCAATAGTTTAGTATTTCAAATTTTGCCGTTATGCACGAGTTTTCTAGTGATCCGCTCAAAAACCGTTTTTTATAAAACTTTCGAAAAGCTTTTTGCTGGCGAGAAGATGCTCCATAAACTGCTCTTTCCATATCTGAAAAACCCACCGCTCTGGCTCTTTCCGTTTATGAGTTATTAAAAGAATGGTCATGGGGTATTCCCTTTTTGGATGAACAATTGTGAATCAGATATTGAGAGCCGTTATTTAGTTTTAGCGTTCTTTAACAGAAAGCTCCAAGATCCCGACACTACATGGTATAATTGAGTAGTAGGACTAAGGGAAAAGTTGAAGAGGGCTACTTTCAAATAGTATTATAGGAAAATCCTAGATAAGACTTTTCCGCCTAATACAAAATTAGTCTTAATTTACTCGCCTCCTGATCCGCCAGGAATAAAAACCGTTGCGCCATTCATCTTATGTTTTACATGTTGTAAACCATCTAAAGCTGATAGGAACGCTACTGGAACTGAACCAGCCTGCTCGTGGCTGATACCTGAAGGCTTCTTTACAATATTCATCCGCCACACTATACTGTTGAAAACCACCACCAGTTTTTAAACTAAGCATGCCGAAAACTTCATCATCAACTTTAAATTGTTTCACGCTGTTTCCAACACTCACTACCTTTCCGGAAATATCAAAGCCTGTGACAGATGGAACCTGGTGTGTTGCCCAAGTATTTTCAGCCATCCTCCAATCAACGGGATTGAGTCCTGCCACATAATTTTGAATCAATACTTCCTCTTCTGATAGATCCGTCGGTTGAACAACCGGTGCTGAATCTGTGAATTTAAACCGTTGTGCTTTTACCAACGATAAGCATTTTTGTTTCTTTGGTACGCTGTCGGCGGACATAGTTTATCTAAAACTAGATACCAATCATTTTCTTCCGCATCGGTTCACAACGTTCCTAAACTGTCAGAATTCTAAGGTGCGCGCAATTCAAAAACCGAGCACTATCTCATTTTTTGGTCGAAAGCTATGTATTCACATACTCCTGACTGCGCTGATTCCGAATACCACCTTTTTTTCCGATTTCGATGAAGTTTTTGGGGAGAAATTCTCAAAATACTAATAGGACCGAAAAAACAAAACATTTCCATCCCTCTGAGAAAACTTGAGGTTTTGTCCCCTTTCGTTCACCGTAATCTTTCGAATTTGATATATTCGGATTCCCCATCAAAAACTGAGTCTAATCGTGTACCATTGAGTTACAAAAACCAAAATACCTCTGTGGCACATTTCTGACAAGAGTAAGCACTCTGCAAAATGAGCACCTTCTCTCGCAAACCTATCTCCTCCCTGGTTTCGGAACTTTTCTCCGATCGTCATATGCCATTCGAATCACCATTTGAAGGGCAACAAAAGTACGCATCGCTTTTTAAAAAAAGTTCTTTCCTCATGGAGAAAGGTAGACTTTACTGAAAAAAAGAATGACCGAAAAAAGATGTTTTTTTCCAAAACTGCTCTTTTTTTATTTATTTTCAGTTTTCACATGTGTATATAGATTAAAAACAATGTAGAATACGGTGGTCATGCTAACTGATGACCACACAGGTTGTTTAGTAGGTCTCCACAAACTCGGGTGAAATAAAAAAATGAATTTCGTCATTCTGCTGCTATGGAAAAATTCTCATTGTGAAGAAGAGTTTCAGTTTATTGAAGAAAGGATCAGATCTCTGCTGACACAATTCAGAAGTGTTTCAAAGCAGAGAAAGGGATGCAGGAACAAAACAAAGGGCAGTCACGAATCCAGATTGGTGTTAGTGACTTTTCGATGTGATTCCACATCACCCACACAGAGATTACTGAAGAACAGCTTCAGAACATCGCTGTACTATTGGTCTTGAATGTAGGCTTCTAGTGTTCGCCAGAAGCGCCGAAATAATTTGAGCAGATGATTCTTCTCTTGAAAGTCCTCCCGAAACTTCGGAATCAGAGCAAACATAGTGCAAAACGTTTGATCATTTCGCTGGCGAACGTAGCGTTTCAGCGCACACCAGAGTCCCTCAATAGGATCGTTATTGAAGAGCGAATCTCAAAAGTTGGATAGTTGAAGAGCGAATCTCAAAAGTAGAATAATTGAAGAGCGAAAATATCGAAAGTTGAATAGTTGAAAGGATAGATTGAAAGTTGAAAATATACATTGTTCGATGGCAAAAGTTGAAGATAATTTTCAACTTTGCGAAATTTGAAAGGTGTCTTCGACTTCTACACTACTCCTAAAAGGGGCCCTTTTCTAAAAAATAGACCAGCATGGTGTACAACTCGTGCACTTTAAACTAGTATAAAAGATGGAAATGGTTCTAATCTAATTAGTACAATGTTAGTTCCCGAAGTTGGTGCAATACGAAATAAGTTTATAGTGAGCACTCTCCTCCTTGTGCTTCATAAAAGATGAACATTTTTGATGAAAATATAAAATTTGTTACTTTCTGATTTTATTCTTTAAACAGAAAAATGTCTGCTCTTATAAAGATGTCTGTTAAAAAAACGAACACATTGGAAGTATATATATGCCGATGTATGTATC